ACTGCGCCTCTTTGCATCCTGAAGGGAACTGGGGACCAGGTACTGACCACCCTCTCCGAGAAGTATGTGTCCCCAGGCGCACGGAGAAGAAAAGTCAGGGAGGATAACGTGAATTGCAGGGAATTTCGGAGGCGGTGACGTGATTGCAGCCTTTCTCACTCCCGCTGGGATATGCACTTGAGTTTCTGAAATCAGTCTAGGTTGTGAAATCCCAGGAAAGCAGCCCGATCCCTCCCTTTGGCTGTATCCCTCCCGTTCTTTCTGTAGGTATAGTGTTAATAGAGTATCTTGGAATTTCGAAATAGTCAAAGCCGGGAGAGAGGGGACGATAGGGTGGATAATGACCAGGAAAAGGATCCAACAATTCCCCGTGTTAACATCTGGATCCTAGCAGGGCCATCATTTTCATCCACCCAACTAGCTTTCGGAGGTTCCCAAGACCACAGACCTTTCTTTCAAATTGCCCTCCTTCCCTGTTTCCAGGAGACCAGATATAGGGAAAATCTGGTGGGGAGTGTGGCTGACTTTTCCTCTTACCCGGGAATGCTAATGAGCTGGATGCAGGAAGAGCTTCGTGGAAATTTGTCCAGTGCAGGAGCACTCCCTGGGTATTGCCTGGACCTTGAGATTAAGACCCCTATCTTTCTGCCAAGTTTCTCTGTAGTTGAAGGAATTGCTTTGCCAGAGTCTCTGATGAATCAGTGCTCACTTGTTTTTTTAATTTAAGTATAGTTGATGTACAATATTATGTAAGTTACAGGTGTACAATATAGTGATTCAAAAATTTTAAAGGTTATACTCCATTTATAGTTATTATAAAATATTGGCTATATTACATGTGTTGTACAATATATCATTGTAACTTCTTTTTTACATGATAGTTTGTACCTCTTAATCCTACCCCTACATTACCCCTCCTCCCTTCACTCTCCCCACTGGTAACCACTAGTTTTTTCTCTGTATCTGTGTTCCTTTTGTTATATTCACTAGTTTATTTTTTAGATTCCACATGTAAGTGATATACAGTGTCTTTCTCTGATTTATTTCACTTAGCATAATACCCTTCCAAGTCCATCCATATTGCTGCAAGTGGCATTATTTCATTGTTTTTTATGGATGAATAATATTCCATTGTATATATATACCACATCTTTATCCATTCATTTGTTGATGGATACTTAGGTTGCTTCCATATCTTGGCAATTGTAAATAATGCAGCTATGAACACTGGGGTGCATGGTATCCTTTCGATTTAGTGTTTTAATTTTTTTCAGGTATATAAGCAGGAGTGGAATTGCTGGGTCATATGGTAGGCTGACTTTCCCACAGTCTCTGATGAATCAATACTATTCAGTTGTTTACTTCCCTACACTTATTTTTTAAATGGATATTCCTCATTTTTAAAAGAAATTACAAACTTTCCTGAAATTCTACCTTTAACATCACTTTTAAGAGAATACAAAGCTCTCATGTTCCTAAAGAATAGAATCTCAAAAAAACCTCTTTCCATTTTCTGGAAGTGACTAGTTGTCCTTATTGAGGGTCTTCAGAATGCCTTACAAGATTTTACTGTCTGTGGGTAAGGCTGTGCCTTATAAAGGACTTGTTTTGGTTAATAACCCAGTGCTGAAGGCTGGGAACCAATATTTTCACTGAGATAAGAATCCCTGGGCTTCCCTGGTGGCGCAGTGGTTGAGTCCGCCTGCTGATGCAGGATCCGGGAAGATACCACGTGCCGCGGAGCGGCTAGGCCCGTGAGCCATGACCACTGAGCCTGTGCATCCGGAGCCTGTGCTCCGCAACGGGAGAGGCCACAACAGTGAGAGGCCCACATACGGCAAAAAAAAAAAAGAAAAGAAAAGAAAAGAAAAAAAAATCCCTTATAAGAAGTTACTTTAAACTTTGACACTGTACCACACAATCCAGAGCAATCTACAGATTCAGTGCAAGTCCTATCAAAATTCCAATGGTATTTTTCACAGAAATAGAACAAACAATCCTAAAATTCATATGGAACCACAAAAGACGCCAAATAGCAAAAGCAATGTTGAGAAAGAAGCTGGAAGCAACACACTTCCTGATTTCAAACTATATTACAAAACTATAATAATCAAAACAGTATGGTATTGGCATACATCAGATACACAGATCAATGGGACAGAACAGAGTCCAAAAATAAACCCATGCATATATGATCAATTAATTTACAACAAAGGATCCAAGAATATACAATGGGGAAAGACAGTCCCTTCAATAGTGTTAAGGAAACTGGACCACCACATGCAAAAGAATGAAACTGGGCCACTATCTTACACCATACACAAAAATTAAGTAAAAATGGATTAAAGACTGAATATAAGACCTGAAACCATAAGACTCCTAGAAAAAACATAGGGGGTAGTCTCCTTGATCCTGGTCTCGGTGATGATTTTTTGGATTTGACACCAAAAGCAGAGGCAACAAATGTAAAAGAAAAAAAAAGTGAGGCTACATGAAATTAAAAAGCTTCTGCACAGCAAAGGAAACCATCAACAAAATGAAAAGGCAACCTACCTACCAAATGGGAGAAAATATCTGCAAAATCACTTATCTGATAGGGGATTAATATCCAAGATGTATAAACAACTTATACAACTCAAAAGGAAAAAAAAGAAAAGATTAAAAAATGAGCAGAGGATCTGCATAGACATTTTCCCAAAGAAGACATACAGATGGTCAATAGGTACATGAAAAGGAGCTCTATGTCACCAATCATCAGGGAAAAGCAAATTAAAACCACAAGGAGATATTACCTCACACCTGTTAGAATGGCAATTATCAAAAAGACAAGAAATAAGTGTTGGTAAGGATGTGGCGAAAAGGGAATGCTTGTACACTGTTGGTGGGAATGTAAATAGGTGCAGCCATTATGGAAAACAGTATTGAGATTCCTCAAAAAATAGAACATGATCCGGCAATTCCATTCCTTGGTATTTATCCAAAGGGAACAAAAACACAAACTCAAAAAGATATCTGCACCAGCCCGCAATGCTCCTCCCGCCCGTTCACTGCAGCATTATTTACAATAGCCAACACATGAAAGCAACCTAAGTGTCCATCAATAGATGAATGGATAAAGAAAATGTTGTGTGTGTGTGTGTGTGTGTGTGTACACAGTTCAGCCATAAAAAAGAAAATCTTGCCATTTGCAACAACTTGAGGACATTATGCTGAGTGAAATAAGTCAGAGAAAGACAAACACCATACGATCTCATATGTGGAATCTAAAACAACAAGAACAAACCAAACTCACAGATACAGAGAATAGATTGGTGGTTGCCAGAGTTGGGAGAGAGGGTAGGGGTGAAATGGGTGAAGGGTGTCAAAAGGTACAATCCTCAAGTTATAAAATAAATGTCATGGGGATGTAATGTACAGCATGGTGACTATAGTTAATACTGTACTGTATATTTGAAAGTTGCTAAGAGAGTAGATCTTAAAAGTGTTCTCATCAAAAGAAAAAAAATTTAACTGTATATGTTGATGGATATTAACTAGACTTATTGTGGTGATTCACAGTATGTACAAATATTGAATTGTTTTGTTGTAGATCTGAAGCTAATATGTTATGTCAATTACAATTCAAAAAAGTGTTGGACTTGTGGCGATTCACACTTGAGTTGGGTTTTAAGGACTGACACAACGTTTAATAACTTTTGATGCTCCCATATTTGCCATTTCAACATTTCTTTTAAGAAAACATTGTATTTATATGGATAGGCTGGAACCTGGAGATAGTTAAATATCACTGGCCTGTAAGAGAAACGCCACTTCTATTCACCATGGAAGTGAGAGGTAAAAACTATAAAAAGAGGGCTTCCCTGGTGGCGCAGTGGTTGAGAGTCCGCCTGCCGATGCAGGGGACACGGATTTGTGCCCCGGTCCGGGAAGATCCCACATGCCGTGGAGCGGCTGGGCCCATGAGCCATGGCCACTGAGCCTGTGAGCCATGGCCGCTGAGCCTGCGCGTCTGGAACCTGTGCTCTGCAACGGGAGAGGCCACAACGGTGAGAGGCCCGCGTAGCGCCAAAAAAAATAAATAAATAAATAAAACAAAAAACACCTATAAAAAGAGACAATGGGAAACATTCTCTATGACCAGGAAAGTTTCAAGAGTCTTATATTCAGAGGATCAGAGGCAGTAGAGCAGAAAAGAAAAGCGAAAGAATGACAAATTAGCAGACTAGATAGCCTAAGGGAGACTTAAATTCACCAAAATTTTTTACCACAGCTGGGCCAGAGTTTCTATTGACAGGGAATTATGTTGCCCTATAAATACTGTAATTCTAGTAGAAGTCAGAAGCAGTCACAAAAATGAGGAAATATTCTTCCAGTACTTGAAAACTATCATCAGCTTCAGCAAAGTCCCTCACTACATTGACTGAGGGATATAGGCAGTGCTGAAGCTGAAAGAGGTTTCAGTTGTATAAATATACTTTGTAGGAGATGGAAAATGCTGGAATGAAAGGCTTGCTTTCCCCTCTTCTCTTTTGTCCTCTGTTGTGAGCTCAAGGAGCTGTGTTCACAATCAAAATGTATGCTTTGTGCTTTAGCCATGATGGCCACACTAGATTTTGATGTACTGGGGACCCAAACCTCTATGCTCTCCATATCACTTAGAATATAACATGTCCTTTTTCACCAGGAAATGCTAGTTCTGGGGGTGGGGATCAGGAAGGGTGTGCAGGCCATCCACATATGGTCAAGAGGCTTGGTTAGGTAGCCAAGGTGGGAGGGAAACAGAGACAACTCATCTCACACATTCTAAGCTCTCAGATAGTCCTGTGACCTCAACTGGTACTAAGAAATTTCAACATTAGACTAGGCTAAGACTAGTTAGAAATCAGAATGATTTGAAAAAGCAAAACATATTCATGACTTCAGTATAAAAATATATTTTTTACAGCTGCCCTTGTGTACCTTTTCATTGTATTAAATGACACTGCATTTAACAAAGGTAATCACAGGTAAATTTCTTGTTGATGTTTATTTTTCCAAAATCTCAACTTTTCCAGCATTTATGACCTTTAAACAACTTTTCAATGTGTTATCTCTGACATTCTTTAAATAAGGAAGTTCAAGAAACATTTTATCTCAATTAAAAAAAATTCTGAATTCTACTTGAAGTTGTCACCAAACACCTTGGCAAGGAGTCATTTTAGTGGATTCTCTGGTGCTTAATCAGAACTGAGCTTCTACTGCAGGCTTCACCTCATTCACCACTGCTGGGGCTTAGTAGGATGTGGCCTCTCTGATGTTGGATCAGCATTGCTCTCTGCTTGTATGCCTTTCCACACTACTTACATGTATAGGATTTTTCCTCAGAGTGGACTCTATTATGTTTATTGAGATTTGACTTACAGCTGAAGGCTCGCCCACATTCACAACATTTGAAAGGTTTCTCTACTGTGTGGATTTTGAGATGATGACTAAGACCTGTCTTCTGACTGAAGGCTTTGCCACACTCTTTACATTGATAAGGCTTCTCCTTGTTGTGAATCCCCTGATGTTCAATAAGATGCTCTCCCCTTGTGAAGGCCTTGCCACACTCAGGACATTGGTAGGTCTTATCCCCAGTGTGGATTCTTTTGTGGTTTCTTAGGCCAGTTAACTGCGTGAAGGTCTTCCCACATATATCACACGTATATTTTCTTGGTTTAGGAGGGTTTCCGTGCTTCCCTCCTAACTTGTGTTTGTTGAGGCCTGAGTGTTGACTGAAGGCTTCACCACACTCATCACATTTATAGGGCTTCTCCCCAGTGTGAATTCTCTGATGTATGACCAGGGTTGAGTTCACTCTAAAGGTTTTTCCACACTCGGCACATTCATAGGGTTTTTCCCCTGAGTGAATTCTGTGATGTATTATAAGTTCTGAGCTCCGGCTAAAGGCTCGTCCACATACAGGACATTCAAAAGGTTTCTCTCCAGTGTGGATTCTCCGGTGTTGGTTAAGTCCTGCATACTGAGCGAAGGCTTTTCCACATACTTTACATTCATAGAGTTTTTCTTTACTGTGAATTCGCTGATGCTCAGTAAGATTTGAACGCTGCCTGAAGGTTTTCCCACATTCATTACATTCATAAGGCTTCTCTTTGTTGTGGAATTGCCTATGTTCAGTGAGGTCTGCACTGTGGCAGAAGGTTTTCCCACAGTATATACATTCAAAAGGTTTCTTTCCAGTGTGGAGGCTTTGATGCTTTGTAAGAACTGATCTCTGACTAAAAAATTTGCCACATTTATTACATTGATGGGGCTTTTCTCCAGTGTGGATTTTGAGATGTTGGGAGAGGCCTGCTTTCTGACTGAAGCCTTTGCCACACTCTTTACACTGATAAGGTCTTCCCTTGCTTTGAAGTCCCTGATGCTGGGTAAGTTCTACACGTCTGATGAAGGCCTTTCCATATTCTGTACTGGAATATGGTTTCTTCCCAATGTGGATCCTCCTATGCAGCTGAAGGCCTCTTATCCAAGTGAAGGTTTTCCTACATTCATCACATTCATATGATTTTTCACCGGTGGCATCCCCATCCTGCAACTCCAAACTTCCACTAGGCTCACTGTCTCCTCTGTATGTGGCATGCTGACACACAGTTTCATGATGTCCATCAGACCCCTCCCTACACCATAATATTTCTTCATAAGGTTCCTGCTTCATTTCTAATGTCAGGTTCTCAGTCCTCACACCACTATCTGAAACAACACATCATATAATTTGAGGAGAAAAGGCAACTCAAAATTAAGAAACAGGCAGGTAGGAGGGTTAATCTTTATTTTAGATTTAACAGAGGATTTTATATCTTTTCTTTATTTAGTGTCAGGGGTTCAGAGAAACAGGTCAGCCAAGTAGAAGGTATGGGAGTAATACAGGTGTGGGAGTGAGAAAGAATAAAGCATGGCCAAGTTACCAATAGAGTATGGTAAAATTGATAGGATGTCACTTCTGTGATTACCTAAGATTGTAAGTTCCACCTACTATGAGATTTTCTCTATTGACACTCTCCCTTGCTGGTTTGCTGGCTTTGATGAAGAAAGCCACCATATGAAGAAGCCCATGTGGCAAGGAACTGAAGGTGGGTTATGGCCAGTAGCCAGCAAGGAAATGAGGCCCTGTGTCTGTGTGACTGACAGAGAACTGAGTCCTGCCACCATCCATGTGAGGGTGGAAGTGGATCCTTCAGTCACAACTCAGATGAGATCCCATCTTTGGTATTTTGACTGCAACCTTGAGAGAGACTCAGAAGTGGAGGGCCCAGGTAAGCCATACCCAGACTCTTGACCCATAGAAACTATGAGACAATAAACGTGTGTTGTTTAAATGCTAGGTTTGTGGTAATTCATTAAGCAGCAATTGATAACTAATGTACCACTACTACAAAAATACAAAGCTTCCTAACTATAAGAACTACTACAATTTAAAAAAGAGGAGGGAAAACAAACCACACACTTAAAATCATATGCATGTATATGTATATCCATACATACATGAACACACACAGATAAGTATTTATGCATATGTGTGTATATATGTTTATACTTATTATCAATAAACGCAAATGGCTTAACTTAACTATTAAAAGAAAAAAATTAGGGAATTCCCTGGTAGTTCAGTGGCTAGGACTTGGCGCTTTCACTACCCGGGTTTGATCCCTGGTTGGCGAACTAAGATCCTGCAAGCAGCAAAGTGTGGCCAGAAAAAAAAAAAAAGAAAAAGAAAAAAAATAGATTTGGTCACAGAGCAAAACCCAACTCTATTATATATACAAGAAACACATCTAAAATAAAATGATAGAGAAAAGTTATGAATAAAGGATGAACAAGAGAAAATTAAGCAAATGCAAATAAAAGAAAGAAGGCATCATGATCTCAGTTTCAGAAAAAAGGAGAGATTCAGGCCAAAAGCATGAAATTAGACAAAGAAGAGAACTTTATAATGCTAAATATACAATTTACAGTGACAATGGAACAGATATGTCTAATTATGCAGAAAACAACAGAGGAGCAACTTTCCTAGAGCAGAAATTATAGATGACATAAAGAGACAAAACAAATAACAGACTTTAATCATCCTTTCTCTGTCTAAAAAAACACCAAATGGGCAAAAAAATAAAGATATGGAAGATTTACAAAATGAAATCAACAAAATTAAATCTTATGGATAAATATGTATATCAAGCTCTGTATCCTGAAAATAGAACATCTTTTCAGATGTGCAGTGACCTTTAATGAAAACTATTTTTTGGGTCATAGGAAAACCATAATAAAGTCCCAAAGGTGTAAAAACAACACAAACATTCTCTGATTACAATAGAGTAAGTCTAAAATTAATAACAAAATCAGAAAATAAGCCCTTCCATCTGAAAATTTTAAAATTTCCAATTATTGGTTCAAAGGCAAAATAAAAGCATACATTTCCGATTTTCTAGAAAACAATAAAAACACTACATTTCAAAACATTTGGGATTCATCAAAACCTGTGTTCAATGAAATATCTGTAGCATCAAATATTTATATTAGTAACAGATATATAGATCAATCCAGCTCAAAAGTTAAAAAATAAAAAGGACAACTAATTAACCAAGATAACTTGCTCATTTAGGAACACTTTACTGGCTTTTCTCCCTTCTGTGTCTCATTCCCCTTCCTTATGCTTCCTGGGAACACCTCTGATACAAATTACTACAATGTAAAATAAATAAATTTAAAAAACAAGTGAGAACATAAGGAAGGAATTAACAAAAATAAATGCAGAAACAAAATACAATATAGAAAAATAATGGAACATTGTAGTGGTAGAACAAAATTGAATACACCATTGTGAACTCATATTTTTTAGAAAAAAAAATGTACTTCTAGCTCTACCCATAAAATGTGCTAGAAGTATTGTTACCCTAGTGGTAAAGAACTCCCCTAGCACCCAGATTTTATACCTCAGTAGCATTCTCCATTAAGAAGAATCAAGGCTCGTTCAGAAAGGGTTGATACCAAATCTGGGTCTAGGGAAAGTACAAGGTGAGCCTGGAACAATTAATTTTGTTCAGAAAGCAAGGATTCAAAATTCATAGGGTCATGGCAAAAAGAGACAGGGGCAAGATGTGAGACATCCATACAAGGCAAAGATGTGTCAGTCTGAGCATTAAAAAGAGTAATAACTGGTAGACTGAAACACACTGACTCAATGAAAATTACTAAGTCCATAATGATACTAACACAGAGAAAGTCCTAAAATCTCACGTTGCCATTTGAGGTACCTATTAAACCATTCCTTGAATATGAAAATTGGTAAATAAAGGGGGAAAACTAAGCGTCAATCTTGACTGTCTAATATGAAGTCAAGTCAATCTAATCAACAAATAGATGATTTGACCATTTCTTTACTATAAAGAAGAATGCCAGTTAATAATGTAGAAGGAATGAAAGAATTATAAAATCATTCTGTAACCCTTAATAAAATGGTTGACCCACACAAGAATTCTCAAATATTTTGTATTTTGTTGATAGGAAACTGGCCATTCACAAACTGCCAAAGTGACACCACACCATTACAAGGGGAAAAATTAGCTGTTCAATGGGGGGATCATCCTGTCATCATCCTAAGCCAGCCAGGGATTTTATAGTGGGTCACCCAGGTATTCATGTCTACTTACCTAATATTAATTCTAGCCAAAAATGTTTAACTTGAGTCTTTCAATCTTTTTTCCAGTTTATGGAAATCCAGGGTACAGGGGCAGCAAAATAAATGATACAATGAGGAAGCAACCAGAAAAATACAGAGGGTAGGAGACTGGCCTGGGCTCATCAAAAAGTCTGGGCTGTGAGAGGGAAAATGGGACAGTGAAATTGTTCTAAAGTAAAAAAGAATTAAAAGGCATAACAACCAGATGTGTTATGTGGCCCTGGCTTCTATCCTGGTTTGCACAAATCAGCTTTAAAGACATTTTGGAAAAAAATGGACCAGTTTGAATTTGGATTGAGTTTAGATAACATTAAGATGTACTGACAGGGAAAAGGGAAGATTATTAACTGAGCAAAATAGATTATAAAATAGCACATAGAAATGATCCGTTTTTGGTGAAAGGAATGTGTGTATGTGTGTATACACACATGTGCACATAAAAGATATACAGATATAAAATAAAAAGTCATCAGTCGTAATCTCTGGGTGATAAGAATATCATGCTTTGCTTTCTTATTTTGCAACTCTGTATTTTCTAACTTTCTACAATGCACATATACTTCTCTGGTAATAATAAGAGGTAACTTTCAAAAAAGTCAATGTAGTTTTACAATGTTAATATCCTATCAGGGTCTATTTATGTACGCATCAAAATACTTGAAAGTAACATTTGCTATAGACAATCTGCAGAAAATTCAACTGTGGATGTTTAAAACCGACACACTGCTGAGGTTGTTCTGAGATGACTTATCACCTGTTAATTATTATTACCTAAAATGTCAGCTCTGTCACTCTTTAACAACTCTCATCACAAGGAATTAACAAGTCACACTCCACAAAAAAACCAAAGGGGAGTTCATTTCAGTCCAAATTCCCTAGAGAAATTCTTGCCTCACCTCCTTCCTCTGATGCGTGGGGCTCAGGTCCTTTGCCCTTGAACTGGACTGCTGGAGGTTGAACTCTGGTACATGAAGATTCTTCATCTAGTGTCTTAAGTGTCACTGTCTGCAAAAGGATCTTCTGTTCCAGAGCACAGGCTGAAAGCTAGAGACAAGCAGCACTCATTAGGCCTGTAAGGATATCATGAATTTAACAGGGACCAAACCTCAGGGAGGAGTCCCCAAGAAACATCCCCCGAGAAAGACTAGGAGGAAGAAGCTAGAAACCAGGCCCTAGGGCGCTGAGAGGCAGCCAGAAAGGTAAGCAAAGTAAAGTTTGATCAAATATTGTTTCCGTCACTTCATTTATTGGCTATGTGTCCTTAGCTAAGTTACACAACCTCTCTGAACTTAGTTTTCATGTGTGATACCACCTACGTCTTTGCTGCTGTGGACGATGAATGACCAGTAAAGGAGCACGATGCCTTCAGTATCTTTACTCACCATCCCCGAATCTGCTGTTTCCCACCCTTCCCCTTCTTCCCCTCCTGACTGGCTTAGCAAGAAGCTCAGTTCCCTGCTGAATGCTAGGTTTCCCACTGTTCTCTCAGAGCCTTCACACTTGAGAAAGTTTTGCTCCCAGTTCCCCGCAACCACATCATATTAGTCTCTTCCTACGTGTACATTTCTCTTTCTTTCCAGATTCTCCAGCATGGTCACCACCTCTTCCCCACTCTCTGGATGATGTTCCTGCAGCTGGGCCTGGAGCTCCTGGGGCAGGATGGAGAGGAACTGCTCCAGCACCAGCAGCTCCAGGATCTGCTCCTTGGTATGTGTCTCTGGCCTAAGCCACTGATGGCAGAGCTCCCGGAGCCGGCTCAGTGCTTCTTGGGGACCAGGGGAATCCTGGTAGCAGAAGTGTCTAAACTGCTGCCTGAAGATCTCCCAGGCAGGAGGCTGGTTCTCTGGAAGGCTGAGACCCTGATTCCTGAGGTGGTCTTCCTCCAACTTCACTTTCACCATCACAGGCCCCTGCTGACCGCATGGGGATTGGAACAGCTGGCCAGCAGACTTTCTTGTGTCCACGGCCATCATTCCTGGCTTCTGCTGGAGTTTCAACTGGAGGCTTCTGAGGGCACCCTGGGGAATAAGAATTAAGTGATAAAGGGATACACGGCATATACTTCGAAGAGCGCACACAAGAAAGAAGACCTGTAACCCGGGTAACTAATTTTATTAATTCACTGAATCCACAAATATTTTTTAGAGGCCTACCTTGTACAGAAACTGTTCTAGGTGTTTGAGACGCATTAGCGTACAAAGATCCCTGCCATCATGGAGTGTTCATTCTAGTAGGAGCAATCAATAAATACAACAAATATGAAAAGTGTAGAGTATGTTACGGAGATAAGTAAAAATATATAATTGCTGGTGTGTGTGTGTGAAATGAAGGCTGATAAGTAAAAATATATAATTGCTGGGGGGGGTGTGTGGAATGAAGACTTGCACTTAACGGAGGAAGGTTCCTCCAAATCCGGCATTAAATACATGTATGTGGCCCCTAACCTAAAGCAAATTTTCAAGTTATCACTTGGCACCGTTTTTCCATACTTGAATACATATGACCCAACCTGTGGGAGAGGAAAAGTTACTAGTCACAGCCAGAAAATTATTGATGTTTTCGTGTTAATCTGGCAAAACTGAGAGCGAAATCCCACTTCGCTTCACACAGTGCTGGCGGCCTTGGTTTAGTCAGAGCTTCAGAATTACGGTTCCCAAGAAGGGGGTCCTCAGTCCCGGGACAGGGTCCTGTCTTGGGGGCCTTGGGGCCGGCCTTTCCGGAGCCTCCCAGACAGACGTCTGCTCCCAGCCGCGCAGCCCCGAACCTCCCCGGGCACAGGGTGTCCTCCAGCCGGAACCAGGGCCGGTGTTGGCTGCCCCACGCGGCTCAACGCGTCCGGGGCTTCACAAGGACGAATCCGATATCGAGGCGGAGGGACGCCCCCATACACTCACCTGACAGGGACGCAGAAGTTCGGCTCCCGGAACCGGACGCTCCGGCGCAACGGCTTCCGGCGTCTCCCGGAGGTCACGCCCCCGAGCGCGCGCCCGCGACCCGCCTCCGCCCACGTGCGCAGCGTCTCCGAGTTACCCTGCGGTCGGGTACGCTGCGTGTTCAGTTCGAGCGGTTCGGGACTAAAGGCGGTGAAAGCAGTAACTGTGCTTTGACAGTTAAACCCAGTTCCTGGATCTCTGAAATTAAAAATAAAAGTTTCGAACACCCGCCTCTTGCCAACCCGATAGAATCCCTTAACTGAAAATGTAGGGGAGGAGTGCTAGATGACAACAGAGAAGAAAAATGATTGCTCTCTTCCATAAAGAGCGTTCCCGGGAAGTAGGCCGTTGGCGGTCAGCATCGCTACCTGTTTGTCTCCCCTCTGCCCTTCTCCTGGGTTCTTTCATCTCCTCTGCTCCTAGAACCCTCTCCTCAGGAAGGAACACGATAGCTAGCCTTTAGGATCTCGTGAATATACTGAAACCAGGAAGAAACACAGAAAACAGTGATGGTCGAAAAGTGGGAGCTGTTAAGGCAAAGAGCTTGGGCCAGAAGGCAGTGGAAATTTGCGAGAATGCATGACCCTAAGAGAAGAAAAGGATTAAATGATGGAAGAGGTTCTACTGTGGAAGAGTTGGAAGAGGGGGCGATCAAAGTAGGTGAGCTCACTACTCTGAGGGAGGTTCCTCAGTGAGTTGCTGCTTTAGTCAGTCAGCAACACAGGGTTGGGAATAATAAAGGGAGTGGCAGACACAAAAAGGAGAATCAACATATGAAGTGGGGTGCTGGAATTTTGAAAAACCCGCCAGAGCTGTAAAGTTGTCCTTGTCCCACTGTGCAGAGACCGTGGTGTATTGGGAACAGATTCCTCATGGCTATTACCACAGGAAAGCAAGACTCTCAGAACACTGGCCCTACAGAAACAATGTTGCTCACTTTGGAGTTTCTCTTGTGCTGAGGCAGATATTCCCCATCCTTCACAGTGCAGGACGTGCATATCTTAAAACAATCTAGCTCTCTCTCAATTCTTTTTCCTCTCTCAATTTTTCTTTTTTATTTATTTTTTTTTGTTTTGGTTTTGTTTGCGTTGGGTCTTCATTGCAGTGCATGGGCTTCTCGTTGCAGTGGCTTTTCCTGTTGCAGAGCACCGGCTCTAGGCGTGTGGGCTTCAGTAGGTGTGGCGCACGGGCTTAGATGCTCCACAGCATGTGGGATCTTCCCGGACCAGGGATCGAACCTGTGTCCCCTGCATTGGCAGGCGGATTCTTAACAACTGCGCCACCAGGGAAGTCCCTCTCTCTCAATTCTTGATACCTTAGAGAAAATTCAAAATCCCTTCACCTAGAAAGAGGAGAAAGGTCACCAGTGTTGTGATACTGAAGGGATTATTACTGAGTAGAAAAGGTGAAAGCAAGCTATTTTGAAAGCACCTGGAATGAGCTTAATGGTCAGATCTTAGAAAGCCACATTGAAGATGCTACATTTCAAGGCAAATACCAAGGACAATACCACAAAGCAACCACGGCTTCCTGAGGAAACTGGAGAGTTGACCACTGCTCACATGTGTAGGAACTGAAGCCTCTGAACCCCACACCCAGGACCTTCAGTTCACAGAAGGGCTGGCACCTTGGGGATGTAGAGAGCTGAATGACAGAGCAGAGTCCAGAGCAAAACCAGCCCTGCCTTGTAAACATCCCTCACATTTCTTCCCTTCCTCGTCCAAAGTGGCTAAACATCTGTCAAATTATACTTAGTAGGAATTATATCAAAAATCCAATAAGTGAGATCAGATAGTATAGGACAGTGGTTAAGAGCTTATAATTTGGGGTCACTGAATTCAGGTTCCTGTGCTGCAGTGCCCCTTGAGCAAGTCACTTAGCTTCTCTAAATCTGTTTCCAATTAGGGGACAGTAAGAAAACTAAGAGCACTGGGCATCAAGAGGATTAAATGAGATCACACAAGGGAAAACCACGAGCAGAGTTTTTGACAGAGTACACACTATGGATAGCTTTATCATTTGTGAAAAACTCTGAGTCTTAAGAGTCTAAGGAGAAATGACTAATATATCCATCCCATTTACTGTGTTTATGTATAAAGTACACACTTTTACTGAGCCTGCCCACAAGGGGTCAGTTGTTCTGCAGAAGATATAAAATGGGCAAATTAATGTCCTCCTTGGGCCTGAACCATATACCAAAAAAATTACATAATCTTTATAATCCAGAGGCCTATTATATAATTAGGGCACAGACCTAGAACACCTGACACTGATGAACAACAGAATGTTAATATGGAAATATATTATGTGGTCCTGGATTTAAATGTAGAAGGAGTTCAAGTATGGAGATTCACTGAGGCCCAGTGGTTAGAGTCTTCACGGGAGATGTGGAAGGCAGGATGGGCCCCGGAGAAAGGGAGCAAGTTAAGAATTCCTTCTTCTCAGGTTGGGAAAGGTTCAGGAGTTGGGGAAACCATCCTGGGGCTAGAAATGGAAAGGAGGCTTGTGAACTGAACTAGGAGGCTGGCAAACAGCAGTTGGCCAGAGGCCACCAGGATGGGGGAGATGACCAGCAGGGCACAGTCTAGAAAGGCTATCAAAGATCTGCTCAGATCTTTATCCTCTTCAGGGAGTGCCCTGCGTCCACTCTTACCCTGAAGTTGTTGCTTCGCTCGCTATGGTTACATAAAGAGTTTTCCCAGACTAAACCCAAGGAAAAGGCAAATCTTCTAAACATGTTACATCAATCTTGGGAGTTCCCTGGCTGTCCAGTGGTTAGGACTTCATGCTTTCACTGCTGTGGGCCTGGGTTCGATCCCTGGTTGGGGAACTAAGATCTCACAAGCCACGTAGCCTGGCTAAAAAAACCCCCAAAACAAAACAGAAAACATGTTACATCAATCTTGCTCCTAGTTACTTGTGATTTTTAAATATCTACATGTGCCAACTTCTGAAAACGTGGAGGGGTCTCAAGACTGAACATGACTGTAATGTACTGAACATAGCTAATTTTCTCATTCATAATTATTAGGCTCATTTTGAGAAGTATCAGAAGCTAGCAATCGAGATTCATGAGGGCTTTGGGCTCCTCTCCCCCAGCTATCAGTTCTGGTTTTAGACTGAAATCTGCTATGCATACAAACATTTATTAGCAATGTTCAGGAAAATTATCAAAAATTGGAAATAGGCAAAAATATGCTAGAACATTTTGACTCTCGGGGAATATTACATTGACCTACAATTGATTAGATTTCAAATGTTTTACAGTCCTATAAAGTTAGAGGTTAACTTATAGAAAACTGAAAAGATATAAAATTTTCCTCTGCCCAGAAGAGAATACTAACCAATTTTTTATCTAATTTAGCAATTTTATTGCAACATTTTCCCCTCACTAATTATATGAATTTCAATTTTGTATATTCTCGTGGAATCAAGTCTACCATTCTGTTGGCTCCTCCATTAATGAGTTAAATAAAATTTGGACACTTGCTCATTATTTGTTAGAATGAGCTATATGAAATGATTGCTTACTCTAATACTTATAACCTAATATTTATAAGAAACATTTTCCTTAATTTAAGAGTGAAACATTGACAGCAAGCACGGACAAAAGTCATATAGCCTGTTCTGGGAGCATGATGAATTCCCAGTTTCTCTGTCTGCGTGGCTGCTCCTCTCACATCTTGGGTGAAAGGTTCATTGGAAGGAAATGTTGCTAAGGATGCAGTTAATCTTAGAGTCAGGATCAGGCAAACAGAATCTTCTGACATCAGAAAAGGTTGCGAATCAAGCCTCAAGTGCCATTCTAAAAGGTGAGCCATGAAGGACTCTAGATGTTCATGCAAAGGTAGAAGGAAGAGACTCTAAATTCTTTTAGTCACTATATATCTTTAATATCACAAATTCCACCAATGAAAACTCACTTCTAACATTCAGTATGTAAATTAGTAAAACCTCTGCTATTAATCGGAGATAGAGCTAATTGCTGTGCTTAATGCTAACTTCCTCTGGAGTGTGGCCTTTCTGATTAAGTGCTGGTGAACGACCCCTGAAGGATATATTACTGATTAGAGGACCTATCCACGTAGACAGTGAGGTCAACTTTTTGTGGTGTTGTTTGTTTCTTAGTAAATTACAGACCATACAACAAGGACAACCTGTTTTCATTAGACAAATGGGATGTAAGTTCAATAACCAAACCATTTTCCCTCTTCCATACAGGATGTTCCTGGAAGGTATGCAATCTTGTCTCAATGTTGGATTGTGTCTATCTCCTAATATCATTTCAGACAATTCACAAAAATAGAAGTGTACCTCAATATAAAAGACTCTGTTCATTTAAAAAAAAATTTTTTTTTATGTGGACCATTTTTAAAGTCTCCATTGAACCCATCACAACATTGCTTCTGTTCCACGCTTTGGCCCCTTGGCCACGAGGCATGTGGGATCCCAGCTCCCCGACCAGGGATCAAACCTGCACCCCCTGCATTGGAAGGCGAAGTCCCAACCACTGGACCACCAGGGAAGTCCCTGTTCATATATTTTATTGGCATAATGTGCCTTCCTAATCATATTTTATTTTGGCACTATTTTTCAAATAGATTTGTAATAATGTATAAGAAATGTATGCTTGTATATGTAGGTGTGTATACATATCCACACACATATATGTGTTGCCACCAAGTGTTCTTTTGTAAAGAAATCTCACATTGCTTTGTTTTGAATGTCATCTTCGTATATTACAATTACAAATAAGGTGTCAACAAGTTCTCTCCCTTTTTTCAAAGTTGTACTTATTAAAAGCTACCACCAATGTCTTCTTTTCTGTGAAGACCCTGCTGACTCCTTCAGTCAGAATTAATGTGCTTTAACATTATTTGGACTTTATAATATAATTACTTATTGTTTATGTAGCCTATTCTGCTTTAATAGATTATAAATTCATGTTCTACTTATCTCTGCATATGTCCTTGGTATAGTTAATTACACACAGGAAGGGCTTCATAAATACATACTCTGTATGATTAATACTTTTAGAAGCATGTGCTGGGGTCAGGTTAACACGGAGGGGCTGCTATAATTAGATTTATGGAGGCTCTTGGTTCTACGGTTGAGGAAGGTCCAAAAAGCTCAGGTTGATATTTATGGTATGCTTTATTGCTTTTCTTTAATATTATAATGTTAGACTAAAGAATAAAATTATTAATTTCCTCAACTTACATCTTCTCACTATTTGATACAGCTACACCCACTGAATACATCACATAAAGCAGGGACATTGTATTTTCCCCTGTCATTAGACTAAAATCTCTTGTAATTTTAATCTCTATTGAATTCTCACAACCACGGAACTCCACACATCAGGGGATTAGCTGGCTGAATGACTGATACAACTATTCAATATGTCTCAATCAACTTGGGAGAAGAGGCCAGTATGCAGAAGACTTATATCACTTTCCCCATCTCTGGCTTTCATGTATCTGATCTTATTTCCTTTGTTTTTAAATATCAAATGTCTTTTTAAATATCAGGTTCCAATGTGACCTGAGAAAATAATCCAAGAGACATTTTTGGCCAGTGAGTACCATTCCTTTAGCTGCACTACTCCAGGCCCTGTCTATGGGCTGAAGACACATCTGACACAGAGACACCAAGGATCCCCACTCCTACTTTCCTACACTAAAAGCTGGGAGGTCCCTCAAACTCAGTTGTTCCTTGTCCACCAATAAGTAGTAGACATATCCCACCATATCCCAATCATGCAGTTTTCCATCTTTCCTTCTGGAAGGACAGCCTAAAGAGGACTGGATTTATTTTGTACTTTAACTTGGAGCGTACTTTTTGTGCCTTAAATATACTGGGAAAAAGACTAGAGAATAGGGACTTCCCTGGTGGTCCAGTGGCTAAGACTCCGTGCTCCCAATGTAGGGGGCTCAGGTTCTATCTCTGGTCAGGGAACTAGATCCCACATGCTGTGACTAAGAGTTTGCATACTGCAACTAAAGATCCCACATGCCACAAGTAAGACCTGGGACAACCAAAAAAAAAAGACAACTAGGGAATGTTTCATACAGATGAAATTAATAATAGGATATACAGCCATATTTATATTTTGATAGGAATTTAAAACATAACAAATTTAATATACCAAGTAGAAAAACTCTACAGGTCCTAAATGCTTGTGTTTTACATCATTTTGACTTAACATAGTGCTTCTATGGGAATAAGTTCAGGTAGAATTTGTTTTCCCTTTGTCACAGGAGATACTATTAGTGCAATTCACTTAATTCCTCAGAGGAAACTGAGTATTCATTAAGTCTCCCCAAGCAAGAAACTGTGCATGGCAAACTAAAGTTCCGTAGACCATAAATAAGTTACTCTGAGGGAAACAGGTGCCTTTCAGATTGTATCATACATTAATCTGAGGGAAATGTGTATCTTTTTCACGTGGTTGTTTCATGATATGCATACCCCTCATCTTTCAAATGTTTTCTCTGATTTGAGTTTTTGTAAAAGCAGCATACCTTTTCTCATTAACCCTGACAGGTTATTTTTGCAAAAGTTAATAGAAAATAGGAGGTTAAATGGAAAGCATTGTCCTTGCATCTTTGCTTCTTTGACCAAAATTTAAATGGTGGTATAAAGGTCACTCAAGGAATAATATAATAAATATAAAAATAAATAAACAGTGTAAAGAGCAGGAACATCCGAAGGCCAAGCCCCAATTAAGATGGTAGCTGAGAAGTTCTCCCCAAAGCTAAGTTCTCGGTTCTGTGTAACTGATGGCAAAGCATCATTACATGTATGATGAATTTTCTGCCTTATTCCTACTCAGATCAGACCTGGCTATCCTTTTGAAAAGCATAAAGACAGGCATGTCATACTGCCACTTGAGAAACTACTTCTCCCCAGAAGGCTCTTTTTTATACTCACCACTTTGCTATAGAGGGGTGGGCTCCCAAGGGTTATTCTTGAGCTAGATATTCAATGACTTCTCTGGTTAAAGATCTTGCCTCCTTCCAGAGTACTTTCTGCTTTTGTGCATGGGCTTGAACCTAAGGATAAAAAAAATTTTCTGATTGTACAGGTAAAGGATTCTGATGAGATTAAATAACTTGCCTAAGATCACAGAGCTAGTAAGCGTTACACTCTAGATATAAATTCTTGCAGTCTGACCACTACACTTACTGCTCCTTTACAAACAGGCCCAATTGGTTTGGAAATCATTGCTAATAGCTAAAACCTGAGCATTCAGTTAAAAAGAAAATTTCCAGTGGAGTTAGGAGACAGACAAATATCACAGTCTCAAGAGCAGATCTTTGAAGAAGAAAAACAGAAAGACACTGCTTTAGCCCCAGTAAAGAAAGGACATAAAATCTTGATTTGCTTCTATCCCTTCCCATACTTGGAAGCTCAGGATTCAGCATTTTTATAACATAATATTGGATTACCCCTTTCCCACTTGCTGGCCTGCATATCCAAGCTGTGTCTTCAGACTCTCCTGCACAACTACTGCCTCTTAGCTGGATGATTCTCCTGTATCTAAGTACAAAGCTCTCCCGTTCCAATAGGGTCAGGAACTACTCCATCACCAGAAGTTCCAGTACCTGCTCCTTGGTGTGCATCTCTGGCTTCAGCCAGTAATGACAAAGTTCAAAATTTGTGAGGTCCAGGGACCTCCTGGTAGCAGAACTGCCTGAAACGCTAGGGGCGGAACTTCTGGTGAGGATGCACCTTCCCAGGCAACCTAGGCCTCTCCCAAGCATGTGCTTCTTTTCCACTTTCACTATGTGCAAACCCTCCTGCTCCTAGTAACATGAACTACAGAAGTCAGGGTTACACCAAACTTTTGATATCTTGGGCTATGATGGCTCAAGACAAAGTTCACTTGACTTAGGGTACAGAGTCAAGGTGAAGGCTCTCCTGGGCTCTGGGGGATAGGAACGTATTGTAAACAACAAAATTACCTGGGTGGCCAAGAATTTACATAAGCTTGTTAACTTTATAAGATAAAATAGTGACAAACCAAGCCTAACACTTCAGGGACAAACTGTTGCCAAGGCTGCGGAGACAGGTATGTCTTTGCATGGCAGCAAACGCCAGGGAAATCCAGCCCACCCTGCTTCCCCTGCGCCAACGAAGTCACACTCCGCATGCGCTATGGGGGTCTCGTGGGTGTTTGGGCGCACCTGGCAGCCGCAGCTGCGCACGGAGAGCGGGGCGTCGCCCCCACGCCCCCCAAACTCGACTCTAGCATCTGCCCTCTCTTTACAACCCACTCAGGAACCCCGGTTCTTCACCCCGAAGCCGGAAAACGGCCGGCTCTGCTCTAGAGAAAAGAGGGAGAAGCGCTGGAGTGTGACCCGACACGTGCACACAAGTATACAGCTGGACAAGTCACCTAGGATCTCGGTCCCGGAGACTGTACTTCCGGGGTTTGTACAGGAACTTGGAAGGTCTGAGCATCTCTATGATCTCGCCGGCGCCCCACTGGTGGTTACCAGGCGCTCCCTCCGCACCTGGGCCGCCCTGCCGCCGGCCTCTCCAGGCCGCCTTGCAGAGCTCCCCCGCCCTTAACAGCTTCTGCAGACCCAGACTCTTCTAGAGAGCAGCCTGGCGCCCTCTCGGTGTTTGTGAGTCGACCACTGCACCCAGGAAATGTACGTCGGAAAACAGTAGCATAAAGGACGCCAGACTTGGAGTCAAGAAATTTTAAAGCCTTGCACTAGGTCACTTTAAACATGTCACTCACTTTCTCTGTTCCAAGGACCAAAGTCAATTATATCGACAGGTCAGATTTATTATAAAATGTGTGGATGGATAACGAAATGAACTCAGGGAAGTTTTTCCAACCTGTTTAACTCACCAACCAAGTTTTATGCTTTCTAAGGGGCACTGGGCGAGTCAGGTTGAGATTTCCCTGATGCCATTCTTGGGTTTGCTCCTGTATACTGTTACCTCCGAAGTGCTTTGAATTTCTTTAAAATGGACTCTAACATGGAAGGCATACTTAAGCAAATAAGACACAATTTTGATGTAAACAGCCCAGAGAAACAAGTCTTGATATAACCTACTACTCTACACAGCACCCTTTAAAAGGAATTGCACATAACACCCCTGTGCAATATCAGTGACACGTGTGGTGTTAACAGCTTCTTCTTCTTTTTTCTATATATCTGTGATGGTTAAATTTTATATGTAAACCTGGCTTGCCTACGGTGCCCAGTTGTTTTAGCACTAGTGTAGATGTTGCTGTGAAGGTATTTTGTAGATGGGATAAACATCTTCAATCTGTTGACTTGAAGCAAAGGATATTACCCTCCATAATGGGTGGGCTTCATCCAATCAGCTGAAGCCCTTGAGACAAAACTGATATCCCCAAGAGGGAATTTTGCCTTAAAACTGTAACACAGAAATCCTGCCTGAGTTCACCTGCCAGCCTGCCCTGCATATTTTGGACTTAGCCCCCAATCATCTGAGCCAATTCCTTTTTTTTAAAAATAATATATACTCTGTTTCTCTTAGAATCTCGACTAATAACCAAAATCCTATTCATCCGTAAAGTCCCACAAATGCCCACCTTCTTTGTATACTTTCCCAATTCTCCCAGGCAGAACTGTTTTTGATTTGTGTTCATTTATCCTTGTTTTGTATTGTAAATTTTCTTTCTTGAATTGTAAATTCACCATTGAATCCGTGTTTTATTTACCTTTTTAAATACCCTTAAAATGCATGACACATATGTAGGCAATAACCGTTCTTTAAACACATATCTTCAGAAATGTATACTAGCCAAGTCACTGTGGAGAGACCTGTTATATTTACTTTTGTAAACACATCCCTAACTCTAAGGTTAGCAAGTCCACAAAGGTAACATTATTGACACTTATGTATGTTTTCATTATTTTTTTTTAATTTTTTTTTTTTTTTCTGTATGCGGGGCTCTCACTGCCGCGGCCTCTCCCGCTGCGGAGCACAGGCTCCGGGCGCGCAAGCTCAGCGGCCATGTCTCACGGGCCCAGCCGCTCCGCGGCATGTGGGATCCTCCCGGACCGGGGCACGAACCCGTGTCCCCTGCATCGGCAGGCGGACTCGCAACCACCGTGCCACCAGGAAAGCCCCGTTTTCATTATTTTTATTTAAACTAAATCAAGAAATACAAGCATCCCCTGCTTTTTGAAAATTTTCTTTACGCCTCTTCGCCTTTACAAATAAAGACCTACATTAGTACCTGTTTTCACTAACTGAAAGAAAGCCGAAGAGGATTTTGTTTGCCAAAAAAAGGTGAAAAGCGAAAATAGTGTTCAACATTTGTTTTGCAGCCAGCCTTGTAGAGAGGTATCATGCAAATCAAGCAGCAAGAGTGCCACCACCAAGCTCCTTCCCTGGGAACTACACTCAGCATCTCAGCATTAAGCCACTATAGCTTTGAACTGTGTCTGTGAGCATCTGTGCTTTATCTCGATTTTGTGCATTCGTTAGCAAAACGTGTCCTAAGGTAACTGCCTCTTTGCTTTACGTCATTGCGGCTTACAAAAAGTTTCATAGAAATGCTTCACTTTCAGGTAGCAGGGGAAACCTGTATCCTACTTTTCAAATTTCTCAATTTATGGTTTTCCATTTTTTGCAAACAACCTATCAAAAAGTCAAGGATGACTTCACCTTGTTTCTATTTAGTTTACTCTGCTATTAAATAAAACCCTCCTCTGAAGTAGTCATTCTCCAGATAAGCAAATTCAAATGTCTCTAGGGCTCAGACACATAATGAAGCTGGAGTGCAGGGCATGGAAAGAACTGGAAGGTAAGAGGTCTGGCCCAGTGATGCCAGATCTTATTTTTTTTCAAAATAATATGGAAATCCCATTTCTGCATAAAATTTCTAAGTGTTTTTAAGTTGACAGCTAATTCAATTCCTAAAAACAATGAATGAGCTACACAAATGTCTGCCAAATGTATCTGATCCTTAGGATGCCAGTTTTCATCTCTGGCATAGTTACCACTGCCAGAAAAGCTCAGTTCATCAGCACATTTCACAGGAGATTTCATCCACTTGGTTGAAAATTCCTCAAATGTACAAGTATTCTGTGAAAGTCTGCATTTTAAATTTCAAGGTGTCTCACTTCAGGGAGATTTAATGTTCTATCCACTTCTCTTTTATTTTTGTCATAGGTATTTCCCTCTGACCTGTAGATGTCAACCTCTAAGGTATTTCCTACCTGAGCCTTGAAACAAGGCAAAACAAAGTAAGTGATGGCACTAAGGATGAACAATTAGCACCTCCAGAGTTTTCTGGGTTGGTATTTATTTATACCGTCCCTATAAAAATATGAATATAGTGAAATACCCCACTTTTATACACTTTCTACCTTATAAACTTTCTAGTTTCTCAAATCCTCCTAATAGTGAAAAGTATATTTCATTCAAAGTAGAAGACAACACCAATGCTTTTCAGACTGTCTATTCCAAAGGTTGAAAAGATAAACTAAAGCATAATGAGGACATAGGTATCCAGACGATAACAGTGGACAGTGAGGGAGCTGAGCTTGAGATCTCTACTGGTTTTTAGCATAATAAAGTCAGAAAGATGTAGGAGAAGCATTATAGACTCTGCTACCTGATGTCTCTTCAATCCCACTACCAATACGGGATCAAGTCCAACTGGCATGCTGGATGGTCAAAGGTATTTCTGGGATTTTTTCCTAGAGATAAACTGGAGGAGGAATGTGTATCACTGAGATTCAAAAAGAAAAAGAAAAAAAAAAGAGTACATATGAATAAACGGCACTCTTGAGGGCACAGATATACATTATAACTCTTTCCTAAAAACTATGCCTTTTTTCTAAGTTGACAAAGTGAGAAGCAAGGCCTAAAACTTCCTGTGCTGCCTTGACATCTTTGAGCCTCACAGGGACCCAAAAGCCTAACCATCGGTTCCTCTGCTCTTGCTATACATGCCTCCCACCCAGCAGGAAGTGACCCCACTTGGCTCGTTCCCATCAGCTGGACTAGCTACACTCCTCAACCTACTGGGTTTCACCTCCTTGCCTGCCCATGAAATTATTCAAACAAGTCAATCACATCCTCCCAAGGAAACCAGACATCACCCCATCTTATTGCTACAAAGCCTGTATCCCAAAGCTCCTATTTGTTCACTCTGCTCCCAAGTGGCCCTCCTCCCCTAGGCTATGAGTATAAGCGGCTAATTAACTGCTGTCGATCCCATCTGTCCAGTGTCGGGTGTCATGTGTTTGGCCATCTTCCAAATCCTAGGGTCGGACTTCCTCCCTCACCAACAGGGTGAAGAGAAGGCAAACAAAACAGCAAGCTGTGTCGTTGAGTAGTCACTTTTAAGTGTAACTTACCTAGCTTACCCCTCATTTATATAACTTTAACAACAGCATCACTTTCCCTGTTCATCCTGCTAAGTTCTCCTTTGCATAGTATGCACACTAACAGTCTCAGTGATCTTCTGTTCAAAATCTGAGAGCCACTGAATCATCAGGCTATTCAGGGTATGTGATGGTAGTGACTTCAAGGAGCAAAAGTGCTGAAGGACCACAAAGGAGAAGGACCAAAAGAATGGGAGAAAGAAATAGCAGCATCCACAACAGACTCAGGCCAAAATGTGAATGGTCTGCTCCATTGACAAGCTACCAGCTTCTTTCAATCTGTTGGATGGTATCAGAATCTCTTCTAGTTTGGCTACTTAGAATAACAATGGAGACACCACATCCCTAATTTCTTGAATTTATTACACAGTGGGTCTGTATTCAGCATAGCTTTCTAAAGTGTTCAGTAAGGCCTGATTTATGATTAAAGGCCTTCTTACAATTAGGATACAGAAACAGACTTCTGCCCTCTGTGGATCCTCTGATGACGAACAAGGCTTGACCTCTGAATAAAGGCTCGTCCACATTCCTCACACTGATAGGGCTTCTCCCCAGTGTGGATCCTCAGGTGCTGAGTGAGGCTGGTGCTCCCTCGGAAAGCTTTCCCACATTCCTTACACATATACGGTTTCTCTCCAGTGTGACTTCTCTGATGTTCCATGAGTCCTGACCTCTGAGTGAAGGCCCTCTCGCACTCATTACATTTGAAGGGTTTCTCTCCAGTATGGATTCTCAGATGTCCAATAAGGTGTGAACTTTGACTAAAGGATTTACCGCACTCTTTACATCCATAAGGTCTTTTCCCAGTATGGATCCTCTGATGAAGAACCAGGCCTGTGTTTTGACTGAAGGCTTTCCCACATTCATTACACTGATAGCGTTTTATTTTATTATGAATTTCCTGGTGTGAAAGAAGGGCTGATTTATAACTGACTGCTTTTCCACATTGATTGCATTTATAAGGTTTCTCTCCAGTGTGAATTCTCCAATGTCGAACAAGCCCTGAGCTCTGAGCAAAGGCCTTTCCACACTCCTTACATTTGTGTCGTTTTACTCTCATGGGGTTGACCTTTTGCTGTTCTGATTTACCCCTATATTGAAAAGTTTCTCCACACTTTGGATCCTGGAAAGCACCCAATGAATTCATTTCTGCAGAAATCTTCTTTGGAGCAAATTCACCAGTCATATTCCTGGTCTCAGCTCCTGCTGAAAGAGCAAGTCGACTATTTAAGTGCCACATGTCCCACATAAATGTTTGGAAGTAAGATTAGTAATAATAATTGATAACATTATGAATGCTTATTAATATCAAGGATTGTGCTAAATAAGCAAGAACTATCATCCTAATGGTTTTTGATACTCACTGCACCTATGAGTCATAGAGAATAAAAATAAATAAATAAAACACGTTTGGGCCCCAGCCCAGATCTAAAAACTCAGAGTGGCAGGAAAGAAATGTAAATTTCCCAAGAGTCTTCAAAGGGTCCCCAATGAACATACCTTCTAGCATTCATCCCTTGTGTAGTCCACCCCCCTCCCACACAGGGTCTAGGCTGGCCTGTGACTTGTTTTATCCAACAGAATATGGTGAAAGTGATGATACGTCAGTTCAAGGATTAAGACTTTAAAAGGATGCTTTTGAGATCCCTGAGTTACCATGTAAGAAGTCCAGTTACCCCACTAAAGAGATACATGAAGATTGAGAGAATGAGATAACCTGTGGCCCATGCATCTCAGAATCTTGCTAAGCCCAGTTTTCTAGCCATCTCCTGCTAAAGTATGAGAAGCGAGTGAAGTATCTCAAGCATCACAGTCCAGGCAAGCCCCCTGATAACTACAGCTTAAATTGATATCATGTACAGTAGAAGAACCATCCTGTTTATCCCAGTCAATCCAGAGAACTGTGAGAGATAACATAATGGTTGTTCCTTTTAGCCACTAAGTTTTGGAGTGGTTTGTTACATGGAAACGGGATAGCTAAAACACCAAGTGATCACCCAATATTTGGTGATGCTCACAGCAACACAATGAGCTGGGTAATAGATATAGCAACTGAAACACAGAAATTAAATAATTGGTCTGTGATCACATGACTATTAAGTGATAAATCCTGGCCTGAAACTCAGGTTTATCTGAATTCAAAGACCACGCTCTTTATTTTTACTATAAAAAGAATAGATACTCATGGTAAAAATTTCAACAGTACAAAAGGTATAAAAGTAAAAAGTCCAAATCCCAATTCATCTTTCTCCATCACCCTGTGCCCTTTTACTTTCCCTAGAGGTAATCACTATAACTTTGTTGCCTACATAATAAGTTTTCTACTTTACTCCAGTGGCTACCAATCTCTCACTGCATTTAAAGGAATTTTTTTCCTCCAATATTTTCATACAAGAGCCAAAAGACTTTTACATAAAGACATCCACTGACGCAGTGTTTAAAATAACAAAAAGAGGGAATTCCCTGGCAGTCCAGTGGTTAGGACTCCATGCTTTCACTGCTGAGGGTGCAGGTTCAATCCCTGGTAGGGGAACTAAGATCCCAGAAGCCACATGGCGCGACCAAATAAATAAAATAACGAAAATACTGGAAACAGCCTAAATGCACATCAGTAGGAGACTATTAACTATTATACATGTATGCAACAGAAAACTAAACATCAAAAAGAATAAAATAACTCTACTGATAAGAATAACATTATTTCTGCATGTTTTCTCTAGGCCACAAACATCGACTGCAACTGAATGAAGGAACTAAGATTGTGGTAACCACTGATTTAACTAGAATGTAAGTTGCATGAGGGCAGAGACTTTGGCCTTCTTGTTCACCTCTAAATCCCCAATGCTTAGAATACTGCTGGACACATAGTTGATGTTCAATAAATATTTGGTGCATGAATGAATAATGTACTGAATATTCTCATTAGGTAAAAAAAAAAGCAAAATGCAAAGTGGTGTGTATAATATGTATGTTAAAATGTATCCAGGATTTGTTTTAAGTGGGTATGGTAAGACATGCAGACATGGAAAGGACTATACGAAGAAAGAAATTTTTTACACTCGTAGATCCCAAGGAACAGAAGACGTAGTCTGCCATGCAGGGCTGCATGGGAAGGCACCACAATCGATCAGGAGGCAGAAGGGGAAGAGGGGAGAGCATGGCCTAGAGGCTTTATTGGAGTTTCCCCAGGAGGGAATGGATAAGGCAGGGTAGGTATGCTGAGTAAGCTTAGGATGGATAATTTGAATACTTTTGGCACACTCTGGGCTATAGGGATGGTCCCTAGTTCTCTGGTATCTGACCCTGGAGTGATTTAGGGCAGGGGGAATATTGGCTTGGTGTGTGAAGGTTTGATAAAGGAGATGGTTGGGGGACTGGGCTCCAGATTGGTTGGACTGTATATGAAAGGCCCATTTGCAGGGGAGTCCTTTGCTGTCTCTAGGAATTAGCTAGCCCTGGGAAGGCCAGTCTGTCCATGATCAAGGCCCCAAATGCCAGAGCATCAAGAATATAAACAAATTTTTAAATATAGTCAATACGTCATGATACAATTTTCCCTAAAAAGTGGGGAGAGGCTTGAACATACAAGAAAAATTTTAGAAGTATATACTAGAGAATGTTAACAGTGGTTAACTCTTCGGAATGGAACTTTTATTTTCATTTTGTATTTTTCTATACTACTTGGATTTTTAAAATATAAGCTACCACTATTGTTCTATAGTAGCTAATTAAAACATATAGTACTAGGGCCCACTATAGTAAATCTATGGTAGATCTGGGTACCTGTATTGTTAAAACGGTTCCATAATGATTTGGATTCACAGTTAGAATTGTAAACCACTATCATAACCCAATTAAAAAATACCACATATCCCAATGCAAAATTAAATCAACTCTAGATATGCTCACTTTGTAAATAAACTTCTGGTGTTAAACTTATTCTGCTATTCTAGATACCACTTTTTTCACCAGAAATACTGCTTCCTAGCAGACGCTATACTCAGTGCTTCCAAAAGATCACAAAAGATTCACATTTTAAAGCTTACCATTCTCTTGCAGAGGAAAATGCTCCCAAGGATCACACTTCAGCTGGATGTTAAGTGACTGCTTTGCGAGGCTTACAGGTCCTACTTCCTTCCACAGCACTTCTTGTTTGTAATGTGCACTGGCTTGGACCTAAGGACATACAAGAAGAGCTGGGTTCATGAGAGAATCAGCAATAGTTAACTAAACCTTAAAGTTTGATTAAACATAAAATTTCCTATGGGTACAGAAAGCAGAATGATGAAGAAACCAGTGTCTTAATCAGTTCACAAAAGCAGCAGAGCTTTAGAGGGAAAACAGAGGATAATGTGTCAGTCCAGAAAATAATGGTCATAAAATCCTCTTGCTTACCCATGCCCACTCTCTTTGCTGGTAGACCCCTGGGGTTCTCATAAATGAACAATAGATTACCCTTTTCCCACCTGTTGTCCTTTGTCTCCAAGTTCTGTCTCCAGATTTTCCAGCACAGTCACCACTTCCTCTCCACTCCCTGGATGATATTCCCATACCCTGGCCTGCAGCTCCTCGGGCAGGATGGTCAGGAACTGCTCCAGCACCAGCAGCTCCAGGATCTGCTCCTTGGTGTGCATCTCAGGCCGCAGCCACTTTTGGCAGAGCTCCCGGAGCCGGCTCAGAGCCTCTCGGGGTCCAGGGGCCGCCTGGTAACGGAACTGCCTGAAGCACTGGCGGAAAAGTTCCTGATAAGGGTGCACATTCCCTACTTGGCGAGGCTTCTGCTCCCAAGCATGGTTCTCCTCTTCCTCTACCTTCACGATTCTCAGTCCCTCCTGCTCCTCTCGAGTGTGCACCACAGGAGTCAAGGCTGCATGTTCTCTCAACTTGGTGGACATCTTAGAGTGCAATGGCTCAGGATAGGATTCACTTGTCTTACATACCAGGAATCAGGAAGAACCTTAGGATCAGAGCACTCCTGTGGCAGGAGAACACACTTAAAACAGCAGAATAACTACAGCAGTCAAGAACCTATGTCATTAATAATGAAGACTCACTGCCAAGGTGATGTTCCTGAGTAGTGGAACATTAGGAGGATAATATTCCTGAGATCCGTGAAAATAGATCAGAATTACTGAGAAAGGGCACTTGGCTGCTGATATACAGAAAAGTGCTACATAAATATTAGCATTAGAACTTCTATTGTGGGAAATAAGGCCACATTCTCAGACTTTAAAGACTTTTTAGTTTATAAGAACTACATTACAGGAAGAAAAAAAGCATATGAGCCAAGGCTGGCGACCACCATAGCTCATTTACCAAGGCTTTCTTTCATGTATACTCATAATCTACCACCCCTTCATAGAACTGCTTCAGCAGGGCAGGATGGGTCTTGGGAAACTCCTGTAGAGGGAAAAGGAGGCTTCCTGATCCTTAGCAAGGTAAGGGAAGATGGATCTTGCCACACTTTAGTAAACTTACTATGACAATATACACGAGCCGAGTCATAGTTATTTTTCCAGTAAAACTTTTACGACATTTAAAGGAATCAAACTACTTATACAGAGGAGTAATATACTACAGCTCCATAAACTGGTTACAGTGTTCGTTCAGGGAATAAAGGATTAAGCACCTAACCCTCAGTTGAGGCATTTCCCTCTCCCACCGCAACCCCCCCCCCCGCCTCCATCGTGTATGAAAGAATGAGAATTATGCAAAATCTGAGTGGTTTATGCTATACTATAAAATCAAAATAACAGCGACAAATCCAAACCGAGCAGTAGAGAGACAAATCGTCACTGAGCTCGTTACCAAGCATTGTGTGCACGTGCTGGGGGGAGAACAGGACACGCAAGCCGCAAAGACCTCCTCCCCGTCCCACCTCTGGGCCGTGGGACAACAGAGATGGGGCGTTCTGCAGCTTGGCTAGGGAGAACCCCGACCGCTCACCCGCAGCTCTGGGGATGACTGGCGCTCCCTGGAGACTAGCCCTGGCAGGTAGTTAAGGCAAAATCTTAAGCCACCATCCCGCCGGGCCAACCAGGAACCCAAAACGGCCGAGCAAAAGGCGCCCAGGGCCACGAGGCCACTTCCGGTGCCCGCCTAGGAATCCGGAGGCGCGGTCCTCTCTATGATCAACCTTACTACTCCGCCGGCTTTACTGCCTTCACCAGGTTCGGCCAGGGCGGGAGGAGAGCTTTATTCTGGCGTTTGGGTGTTTATTCCCCTCTTTCTCACCCCCTGCCTTCTCCTGAGGAAATCTGAGCCAGTCGATAAAGTTCAAATCACCCACAAGGTTGCTGAGACTTGCCACACTCCAGGAGTTAGCTCAGAGCCCTTTTTGTTGTGTATTTATTATTGATGAGTGAAAGTTCTTTTTACATTCTGGATATGAGCTCTTTGTTATATGAACACCAGATATCGGCTCCCACTTCCCTTTTTACTCCCAACCGATGTCTTTTTGCTGAAAAATAGCTTTAAAAAACCTAATAGACTTTATTTTTAAAGAGTAGTTTTAGGTTTACAGAAAAAAATGGAGCAGAAAGTATAGACTTCCCACATGGCCCCTCCAAACCCCCTGCCCGGCTACACAAAAACCCTATTATTAACATCTTGCATTAGTGTGGTATCTTTGGTTACAATCAGTGAGCCAATATTGATAAAGTATTATTAGCTAAAGTCCATAGTTTATATTAAGGTTAATATAAACTGTGTAATACATTCTATGGCTTTAGAAAACATAATAACGTGCATCAACCATTACAAGCATCATACTAAACAGTTTCACCGCCCTAAAAATCCCCTATGCTCCACCCATTCATCATTCCCACACTCCAACCCCTATAACCCCCAGCAACCACTGATCTTTTTATGTCTCCGTCGTTTTGCCTGTTCTACAATGTCATGTAGTTGGAACCAGAGTTTGTAGCCTTTTCAGACTGGCCTCTTCACTTAGCAAAAGCATATAACATTCATTTCTCCATGGATTTTCATAGCATAATAGTTCATTTCTTTTTATTGCTGAGTATTCTATTGTCTGGATGTACCACAGTTTATCCGCTCACTTACTGAAGGAAATCTTTCTTGTTTCCAAGTTTTATCAGTTATGAATAAAGCTGCTATGAACATCCTTGTGCAGGTTTTGTGTGGACATAAGTTTTTGATCCATTTGGATAAATACCAAGGAATGCAATTGCTGAATCATATGGTAAGAGTATGTTTACTTTTGTAAGAAACTGCTAAACTGTTTTCTGAAGTGGCTGTACCATTTTGCATTCCCACAAAGAATGTATGAGAGTTCCTGTTGCTCCACATCTTCATCAGCATTTGGAGTTGTCACTGTTTAGCAATTTAGCTATTCTAATAGGTGTGTAGTGGTATCTCCTTGTTTTAATTTACAATTCCCTAATGACATATGATGTGGAGCATCTATTCATATGATTATTTACCATCTGTATATCTTCTCTGGTGGGGTGTCTATGCAGATCTTTTGCTCATTTAAAAAACTGAGTTGTTTGTTTTCTTATTGTTGAGTTTTAGGAGTTCTTTGTATATTTCAGACAACAGTCCTTCTTTAAAAAAATTCATTTTATTAAAGGATAGTTGATTTACAATGTTGTGTTTAGTTTCAGGTGTACAGCTCAGTGACTAAGTTATACATATCCATAAAAAAGAATATATATATATGTTCTTTTTTTCTTTTTATTATTTATTTTTATTTATTTATTTATTTGGCTGCACCAGATCTTAGTTGTGGCACACAGGATCTTTTAGCTGCGGCATGCGGGATCTAGTTCCCTGACCAGGGATTGAACCCGGCCCCCCTGCATCGGAGCATTGAGTCTTAACCACTGGACCACAAGGGAATTCCCTATATGTTCTTTTTCAGATTCTTTTCCCTTATAGGTTATTACAAAATACTGAGTATAGTTCCCTGTTATACAGTAGGTCCTTGTTGGCTATCTATTTTATATATAGTAGTGTGTATGTGTTAATCCCAACCTCCTAATTTATCCATCCCCCTCATTCCCCTTTGGTAACCATAAGTTTGTTTTCTATGTCTGTGAGTCTATTTCTGTTATGTAAATAAGTTCATTTGTATCTCTCTCTCTCTTTTTTAAGATTCCATATATAAGCAATATCATATGATATTTGTCTTTCTCTGTCTTACTTCACTTAGTATGATAATCTCTAGGTACAACCGTGTTGCTGCAAATGGCATTATTTCATTTACTCTTTTTTATGGCTGAGTAATATTCCACTGTATATACATACCACATCTTCTTTATCCATTCCTCTGTCAATGTGTGTTTAGGTTGCTTCCATGTCTTGGCTATTGTAAAGAGTGCTGCTATGAACATTGGGGTGCATGTATCTTTTCGAATTATAGTTTTCTCCAGATATAGGCACAGGAGTGGAATTGCAGGATCATATGGTAACTCTATTTTTAGTTTTTTAAGGAATTTTCATACTGTTTTCCAAAGTGGCTGTACCAATTTACATTCCCACCAACAGTGTAGGAGGGTTCCTTTTCCTCCACACCATCTCCAGCATTTATTATTTGTATACTTTTTAAAAATGACCAATCTACCTTTTTATTATTTATTTATTTGGCTGCGCCAGGTCTTACTTGCGGCACGCGGATTCTTAGTTGTGGTGTGCATGTGGAATCTAGTTCCCAGACCAAGGATCGAACCCAGGGCCCCTGCACTGGGAGCATGGAGTCTTACCCACTGGACCACCAGGGAAGTCCCTGTATACTTTAAAAATAAAAAAATTATCTATTTATTTGGCTGGGTCAGGTCTTAGTTGCGGCAAGAGTGATCTTTGTTGCTATATGTGGGATCTTCGTTGCAGCATGTGGGATCTGTTTTTTTAGTTGCGGCATGTGGGATCTTTAGTTGCAGCATGCAGGCTCTTAGCTGAGACATACAGGATCTAGTTCCCTGACCAGGGATTGAACCCAGGCCCCCTGCATTGGGATCATGGAGTCCTAACCACTGGACAACCAAGGAAGTCCCTATTTGTATACTTTTTGATGATGGTCATTCTGACAAGAGTAAGGTGGTACCTCATTGTAGTTTTGATTTGAATTTCTCTAATAATTAGTTGATGTTGCACATTTTTTTCATGTGCCTGTTGGCCTGTGTGTCTTCTTTGGAGAAATGTCAATTTAGGTCTTCTGCCCACTTTTCAATTGGGTTTTTTTTGTTGTTGTTATTGAGTTGTATGAGCTGTTTGTACATTTTGGAAATTAAGCCCTTGTCTGTCACATCATTTGGAAATATTTTCTCCCATTTTGTAGGTTGTCTTTTCATTTTGTTTATGGTTTCCTTTGCTATGTAAAAAAAGCTTATACATTTGATTAGGCCCCATTTGTTTACTTTTGCTTTCATTTCTATCGCCTTGGGAGACTGACTTAAGAAAACATTGCTACGATTTATGTCAGAGAATGTTTTGTTTAGGTTCTCTTGTAGGAGCTTTACGGTATCATGTCTTATATTTAAGTCTTTAAGCCATTTTGAGTTTATTTTTGTGTATGGTGTGAGGCAGTGTTCTAAATTCAATGATTTACATGTGGCTGTCCAGCTTTCTCAACACCACTTGCTGAAGAGACTGTCTTTTCCCCATTGTATATTCTTGCCTCCTTTGTCAAAGATTAATTGACTGTAGGTGTGTGGGTTTACTTCTGGGCTCTCTATTTGCATTAAGTCTTCCAGTATAATGTTGAATGGAAGTGAGAAGGGACATCTTTGTCCTACTCCTCATCGTAGCAGGAAAGCATCTAGTTTTTTTACCATTAAGTACGATGTTAGCTGTAGTTTTGGTAGATATTTTTTTTGAAGCTACTGCTTATCTTTTATTATTATTATTTATTTATTTATTTTTGGCTGTGTTGGGTATTCATTGCTGCACATGGGCTTTCTCTAGTTGTGGTGAGTGGGGGCTACTCTTCGTTGTGGTGTATGGGCTTCTCGTTGCAGTGGCTTCTCTTGTGGAGCATGCGCTCTAGGCGCACTGGCTTCAGTAGTTGTGGCTCACGGGCTCTAGAGTGCAGGTTCAGTAGTTGTGGCACGTGGTCTTAGTTGCTCTGCAGCATGTGGGATCTTTCCGGACCAGGGCTCGAACCTGTGTCCCCTGCATTGGCAAGCGGATTATTAACCACTGTGCCACCAGGGAAGCCTTTGGTAGATGTTCTTTATCAAGTTGAGGAAGTTCCTCTCCATCCCTAGTTTGCTGAGAATTTTTATTATGAAAGGGTGTTAGATTTTGTCAAATGCTTTTTCTGCATCTATCGATATGATTATATATTTTTTCTTCTTTAGCCTATTGATGTGATGGATTACATTAACTGATTTTTAAATGGTGAACCAACCTTGCATACCTGGGATAAATCCCACTTGGTCATGTTGTATAATTCTTTTTATACATTGTTGGATTCAATTTACTAATATTTTGTTGCATATTTTTGCATCTATTCATGAAATATATTGGTCTGTAGTTTTCCTTTCAAGTAATGTCTTTGTCTAGTTTTGGTATTGGGGTAATTCTAGCCTTACAGAATGAATTAGGAAGTATTCCCTCTGCTTCTATTATCTGTTAAGAAATAATATTTATAAAATTTCTACTGAAATGTTTGGTAGAATTTACCAGTGAACCCGCCTGCACTGGTGCTGTTTTGGAAGATTATTAATTATTGATTCAATTTCTTTAATAGATAAAGGCCAATCAGATGATCTACTTACCCTTGTTGGGGTTTTGGTAGATTGTGCCTGTGATTATTGTGATTTATAATAAGAGAAATATATTTGGTCTTTCTCCTCATTCCTGGTACTAGGCTCCTAAAAACCTTGGAATTTCCTCAATGTTGAGATCTTTTATGTTAATGGGGTGACTTTTGGAAAGCACCTAAGGATTGGGGCTTGGTTGTCAGTGGAGCTAACCACGTTGTCTAAATTAAATTTTAGGAAGTTCTTATGTATTTAAATATCGTGTCTGGCTTTGGTTTTGTTAACTTCTCCTGCAACCCTAATTACAAATATTTTAGATCTGTATTCTGTGTCTCTTACCCTTTTCCTATATAATCCATCCTTTTTATCCTT